GCTACCGGTAGGTTGGGTCAGATCAGACTCTGATATCGCTACCGGTAGGTAGGTTGGGGCAGATGAGACTCTGATATCGCTACCAGTAGGTTGGGTCAGATCAGACCCTTCAGGTTGAGTCAGATCGAACTCGGGGATTGCTAGCTTGGGCCAGATGGGACTCTTGTTCCAGGTTGTGTGGCAAGCTGGATTGATGAGACTGCTACTAGTCTTCTGCTGTGGTTTTGCACAAAAGTATATCCGTGGAGGTGCTGCCCATTCCCACTGAACTCGTGAAACAGTGATCGTGGCATTATCACGATGCCTCACTGGGAGGCATGTGGTAGACAGCTGGTACCTGCAGGTCCATCACCTGTGAGGGAGGGAGATGATTTGTTGTGCGCCATTGATTGTGTTGACGGCGCTATCGTTCACTGGCATGGAGATTGGACTCGTCCCCTAGAAACCGGTTAAAATTTTTGAGTTACATATAACTCAATAGCTGTGGACAGAATTGTGGTTCTCAATGACTTCCTTCTTCTGCCCGCCCGAATGGAACATATGGTTATTTTCACTGCATCTGGACAGAAAGGTGACCCAAATACGGCTATAATGAACGTACGGTCTCTTCGGGGGAAGATGGTAATATAACCATTCACGCGTGTCACGACTGTAGCCAACAGTGTACCTCCTGTGTCCTCTCTTCGCTTGCCACACGCCTTTGTTCTAAGAGTTGGGAACTTGGGACTAGGTTCAGAATCGTTTGATATCAGAGGAGTGTTCCTAGTTGGGGACTGTGGAAATGTTCAAAACACGTTGTCTTTTTTTGCCATTTTGGCGGTGTAGTGTTCATTAGCTGAAGTGACATTTGTCTGTTTGGAAGGAAACATGGTATGGATCCAGATTGAATTTGATTTTATTTGTGTTCAGTTTACAATTGACAATTGGAAAACTTTAGAGTCTTAAGGGGAAAAAAAGGTGTCTTCTGGAGGATGCACACAGAGACACGCACACACACACATACACAGAGAGAGAGAGAGAGAGAGAGAGAGAGAGAGAGAGAGAGAAACATGTCAGCATGATGTGGAGAGGTGATCGATCACAAATGGGTGGACGAGTCAGAGGTTTGCTGTATAGCATAATAAAGAGCATTCTCAAGATTTACAGCATCAAGGGTTCTAGCATCAGGAGTTCTTTGCAGACAGATTATCAAGAAATAAAGTCCAGCAGGGAGGCGGATCACATGGTGTGGAGAGGTGATCGGCGGGTGAATTATCAAGAAATAGAAGTCTAGCAGGGAGGTTTTCACATGGCGTGGAGAGGTGATCGACGGGTAAATCGGTGGATGCATCAGAGTTTTGCTGTGTAGATAGAGGCAAATGGGCCTTGTCAAGATTTCCAGCATCAAGGGTTCTTTACAGGCAACAGATCATGAAGAACTCCCTCCGCCAGGGAGTTGTATCACATGGCTGCGATAATTTTTCCAATTCCGGTGTCGATCTGGCATATACATGGAAGGGGGCAGCTGTGAAGTCAATCGTGATTCCTGAAGCAGCGAAGATTGATTTTCCCACGGTTCTTTTCATGCGTGTTGCTGTTGGCTTGTCCAGCCGACACCAGCCGACATTGGAGTCAAGCTTGGCCAGTTTGCAGTGTGGACAGAAGACAGCAATGAACTTCAAAAGAGTGACAACAACCATGGTTGAAATAGACTGGAGCACTGGTTCAAAAAAAAAAAAAAAAAAAAAAAAAAAAAGATGAAACATCTGGAACATTTCATCAAGAGCAGAGCATTTTATGGCACATCTTGATGACTGTAAGATTCAGAGCTTTTTATGGCACACCTTGATGACTGTGTAAGATTGTGCCAGGGTCAACCGATGTGGTCATCGACGATGAAGTTTGCAAAGGGATTACATGGTTGTGGTGGGAACATGTTATCAGAGCTTCCCCCCCTTCACCTGGGGTCTGTGATGACTAGAAGATTGCCGTATGGCCAATCCGATGTGGTCATCGATGATGATGAACGACTAGAAGATTGTCGGAGGGCCATCGAATGTGGTCATCGATGATGAAGTTCGGGAAGACAGACTACATGGTTGTGATGATGGAATGTTTCACCACAGCTTGACATGGCATATCATTGACAACAGCAAAAAAAATGCCGAAGGGTACTGAGTGTCCTGTTCGGCACTCGACAGTTGCGTCGTCGCCGTATATCTGGGTCTCTCCGAGAACGACATGTCGATGATATTTGCAGCAGATCATGGATAAACCTGTTATCAAGAACTCCAGCATGAAGATGGATCAATCGGTGAGATGGCGGAAACTCGACATGCTACAGTACAGAAGAGGTGACACTGTGTGTTCGTAGCCGATATTTGAGTCAGGTTCGGTTTTCTCTTTTTGTGGAGAAGATATAGCAAAGTTCGAGATGACCACATGGTCGTGCTATGTATCGCTGAGGTTAATGGCATTGGCTGCAACCTCCTCGGTTGGTCTGTTCGATGGGTGGTTGTGAGTAAGCGCGTTTGTGTGGGGAATTTTGAGGCTGCCGGCGATGGGACCGATTGTCATCTTGCGGATCCTGATCCGAATTTGCTCTTAAGCACACAAACCGTCTGGCACTAACTCTTGCAAAGATGGGAATCAACTCTCTGTTTCCTCTTCCAGTACCCGAAACCTACCTTATCCTTGTTCTGCTACCCCCACTTGGGCCCCCTTCCTCGGACCGTCCCACTGTCAGTCAGTTCTTCACGCCATTGGATATCTCATAATAGAGTGCGTTCCCTCATCGTAATCATCATCATCACGCCTCTCCCTCCCTTACTCTCTTCCTCAAGCCTGCCCCATCTCTCCCTCTCTGTCTCTCTCTCTCTCTCTCTCAGGTGCACCTTCTTCAGAGATTTCCTCGGAGGAGGCACACGGCTGTGACTTCGGACTTGGGAAGCTACGGTAGCAGGATTACGAGTTCTTGTTCACATTAGAAGTGAGTCTGGGTGGTTTGTTCCACCAGTTGAGTGCATGTTACAAGGTTGGCAAAGCTTTGACAGGAGATCACTAAGGTGGTGGTGGTGGTATGAGTGGGCAGGGAAGTTAATGTCATCAGCAAAATTGAAGCTTTCAGTAGCAGGGATTCCTATCTGCAGTCCAACGATCCCTGTTCTGATACAATTGGCTTGTTCTGTTATCAACTTCACACGTCATTACAGAAATAATAATCGTCTGACTGTTACATGTCGCAAATCTCTCTCTCTCTCTCTCTCTCTCTCTCTCTCTCTCTCTCTCTCTCTCTCTCTCTCTCTCTCTCTCTCTCTCTCTCTCTCTCTCTC